GTAGAAACAAAGCAATAATGGTTTGTGTTCACCTGTAGCTGCAGATTTGAAACCATTGCTGAGGTAGTGAGGAGGCCTGCACCATGAAGGGAGTTCAGCGGCTCTCTGGGACCTTGGACCGGGCTCAGGGTCTACATATTTGTGTCTCATTTTTAAGCAAAACAGGCGAAAGAACAAATTAATCCTATAGTGACTGATTTTAGGCCAGGTAAGGCCAGAGTCAGAAAAGCTGAAGCAAAAGATGCCTTTGAAGTCTCAAAAACATGATTCAGCACTTACATAGCACCATTAGTATTAATGAAGAGTTTATTCTATAATATAGAAAACTATAGAATGATATTGTGCAGGATTTAGTGTGTTTTGGCTCTGCTGTGGGTCCAGAGGGAAATATAATTGGCTCTTGTATACTTCACTGTAGACATGAAGTTACCACTAACCGTGCATGTTATCAGTTTGAAATCGCTGACACTGAACCATAACAGGAACACTTCCCATGCATCTTTTCACATCATATAGAGTAAAAAACCCCAAAAACCCTGACTGTAGCCTGTCAGACAAAAACATTGCAGTCATATTTAATTAAAAACCTAATTAAAATCAATATGTGGATTTGATAAGCGGCTATGATCTTTCCATTCATGATTAAGGTAAGCAAGGAGACTCCACTGATCCATAAAAGCCCAAAGATGGCTCGCAAACCACTTCAGCTCACTTCATGATGCAGGCCTGTGTTCTGAGCAACATAATTGTTTGATTACAGCAACCTTAAAAAAAAACCCAAAAAGTGTCTGTGCCTGCTGGTGGTGGAGGATCACTGATGACTGACAGGATAAAACAAAAAAGAAATGAATTCATGAACAAACTATTTCTAAAAGTCAAAGCTACATTCGGTCCTCTAAAGAGAGACCAGAGAGTTTAAACTAACTAGCAAGGCGGGGCAGGATAAGGCATCAGGTTTACCGCTCCAGCTCTGATGCGAGGATTTGCTTCACAGTTGCTATTCACATTCAAAATAATCCTTCAGGGGGGCAAACAGGTGACGAATCACAGGCACACTCCAGGAGCGACCCAGGACTTTCTGCCTTTGCATCCGGCCCATGTTGTTCACGTCAGTGTAGTGTTTGGGGAAACCAAAAATCCTAAAAAAGGGAAACCACATGGATAGGCCTGTATTTTCTTAAACGTCATAACGCTGTTAATGAAAAGCCTTAATGTTAAAAATCCTCAGATTGGTGCAAATTTTTTCTGATTTGGTTTTTATCACACTGCTGTTAGAGACTGTAAAAGCAAATACAGACTAACAGAGAAGAAAACACTCCCTGCGCATTCTGCACAATAACAAGATACCCTAGTTTGATTCTCGTCATATGCAAACAACTGCACACATGATGACAGGTTGGCCTATGCAAACACAGCTGAATCCATTTCCAGTTAATGTGGGCCGACCTGTGCACACTTCCTTTTAACAGCAAAAAGGCGCAGAGTGAAACAGGGCTGTAATTTCCAGGTTTCTCTCATCCAATCAAATTCTCCCTGGTCTTACAATCGCTGATGTCACATCAACAAACTCCCAGAATTAATTTATCTTTGAACGGACTAAAGAAACACGGACTTTTAAAAAAAGCATAATTTGACAACTTTGCAGCTCAGGGTCAGAATCAAAGATGCTGCCTTCTTTGAAGTTTACATCATTGCTCACCTGTCTTGTCTCAGGACCAACTACTAAGCCCAAGTTTCATGTTTAATGCTTTAGGATTTTAATATGAGTATATTAGAATTGGCATATCATATCTGGTCTAAAGTTAGGTACAAACTAGAAGTGATTTACAGTGATGTGGTGACCTGACCATAGAAAGTATCAGTAAAAAAAAACAAAACTTCATTACAAAAAAAAACAAAACCCCAAACCCTGAAAACTTAGTCGGTGCTCATTTCACTTCCCGTTGGTGGCCTTTATTTCGCAACTACAGTCGTCTGCAAGTGACCAGCTGTCAGCTGTAAAGCGATGTGTACATGCAACTCAACTGCAGTGCATGTAGCTTAATAAACATTATATGTAACTAGTGTGTACTAGTAGCAGCAGCTACACCCATGTGACGCTGAATGGGAAGAGCTGTGTAAACTAGTGCAGCACATCAACGCTTTGTGGTGGTTTATATTGTTTTGCTTTTAGAAACCATTCAGGCATGTACTCAGTCAGATACTATCAGATGACACACATTAAACACACAAGAATGAAGTCATTATACACTGACATCGATAATGTCACACTGGGAACAAATCGGTAAATAATTTATTATGCTTACTGTTCCATTTCAGTGCACCACAGGTAGTCTTCCTTGCCATTCATGTCGACGGGCAGCGGTCCCATCTTCCCCTGCCTTATTGAGTTAGACTTTGTTGTGATAGTACGGACTTTGTCAAACTGCAGGGAGAAATGTCAAATTAACAGTGTTGAACACAAAATAATAGTCTCACGATTACACAAAAACTAATATTTTAAATTGTTGCCACACTATTAACCTAAAACTAAATCCAAACTAAACATGACCAATAAAAATAAATAAAGAAATAAAGAAATAAATGATGTTGACCTTTGCCTGGCGTCCGGATTCCAAACAATCCTGCAGAGTCACCTTGTCGTCTAGAGATGTAGCGAGAGGTCTATAAGAAATCCGAGACAAGAGTGTAAACTTGAGGCCAGTTAGCTTCAGGACTTTTTAGTACCACTCAAAACCAAACAATCAAAACCGAAGAAAAATAAATAAATTAAAAAGACATACAAATTATTTGATTATTGTGGGTCTGTTGAGGTTCTAGTTGCACATTAAAATCCTTGCTATGATCTGCAGTGAGTCAACACAAATATTTTAGCCTGTATTGGTACATACCTGTTCATGCCAGGCAGGTTTCCCCAAAAGTAGCGTGCTCTGTGCGCAGGACTGACTTTTATTGCATCGATAAGAATTGGATTACACTGCAATAGAAGGCAGAAAGCATACATTAGGCATTAAAACTTAATGCAGTCTGACCCTCCAACAGGCTGGTAGCTACCTTTACTTAAAGAAACATTACCTCCAGAAATCTGCAGATATCCGATTTGTCATTGGCACTCATGAAAACCACGTTTTCAAACAACCAGAAAAACGGACGGTTGTCGTCCTCTTTCGGCCTCAACAAGGTCAGTATGCGGTAGAACTCGAAAAAGAGTCTTCCAGTACCCTCTGCAGGATCAACAGGGAAACAATTTTATTTAAAAAGATGACAAATAAACCTTTACTGAGTCTTTATTTATTTATAGAAGTTTAGAAGTTGCATACCAAATAATCCTTTTCGAAGAGGGTTCACCATGGACAGGTCGTTACATGGACTGCCTCCAATCAGAAGATCGAAAGGACCCCATTCGGCCAGCTTTAACACACACAAAGAGACAAACTCACTGAGATAAATTAAGCCATCATATACACAGAACTTAAAAAACAGGAAGGAGTTAAAATACATTTTGAGCATTCACGTGTGTCTTGCTTGTACTCACATGTTTCCTTGTAATGGTGCGAACGTCATTGACGTATTCAATCTTTCCCTCGTGCTTGACCATCCCTACAGCAATTGAATCGTCACAAATCTCTGAGGCAATGTAGCGCTCGATCTTAAGGCCCAGGTCTTTGAGCACCAGATATCCTGAAATGATGTTAAAGTGAATGAAATCAAGGGAACAATTCGAAATGCACACATTTTGCCAGTTCAACACTTTTCTAGTCTTACAGTATTCAGATGATTCATATACTTGTGGGAATGTCTAATTGGAGGACTTAACATTTTCCTCTGCTACCTGACAGATTTTCAGCTGGTTTTTAAGCCAAAAAGGAGGATAGCTGAGGAGCTGCTCATTTTGTTCAGTTGGATTATCTAAGATCACTCCTGATACAGGTATCAGTCACATTTATGTACGATAATCAAGGCTATCCAAAAGATCAATGCCGAAAACAATGACTCTGAAACTAACAAATATTAACGACCAACAGAATGGTGGATGACTACCGTTAGCTAATTATTTTCACCTTTGTGTTGACTTTGACGAACTGATTACTAAGGAGTCTTTCACCTCCCAGGCAGCACCGTTATTGGCTCATTCAGGTCAAACCACTGACCTGATTGGTGGACAACCTACTATATTTTTAATTCATGTTAAATAAACCATCTCCTATTACATTAATACAGATGCCAACTGAACCTTCCAAGGCTCTTCATTAGTATGCACAGACAGAGTGTAATGGGTATTGGCTGAGTTTTCCACACAATGTCATAAACTCACCTGTTGCAATGCCATCAAAAAGCGAGAGCACCTTCATTGGCCTGCGCTGATCAGCAGAAATTGAAGGGTAAACTCTGTGAGGCTCCTGTGGTTAAAAAAATGAATTCGAGTAGCATTTAGAAAAAACGAAATGGCATAAACACACAGATTTAACTTAAATCTTCTTTGATTGGCAGAGCTTAAGAAAAACTAATTTCTCACCCTCAGAGAAAAACAAAATCTGAATATTATCTGACACTGAGGATCTGGAGCTGATCATTAAAAACCCTCAAAGAACAGACTGCTCATTCCAGTAATTAAAGGTGAAAGCAGGTCCATTATTAATAAAACTAAGATGCTTTTAATAAATAATTTCATTAAATATTTGATAAACTATGCTTACACACAGCCAAAGGCAACTGTCTAACATCAAATAATTGCCCCTCTTCCAGCCCCACTTCATGCATACAGTAATGTCCAAATACTCAGAAGTAAGAAACTCCCCAGGTGAAGATGATTAGGACTTCTGGGTCATGTGTAACATTAATTTTAACCTTCAGCAAAATCCTCAAAGGTGTCGACACATCTGACCTTTAACTACCATCTTAAAAACAAACAAACCTGCAGTCACTCAGCCTGCAATGTCTGGTTCATAATCAGTCACATAAACCAGGATTAAAAGGTTTTAACCTGAGTTTAACCAAAATACACTTTAACAATTTGCATTTCGTTGAATGCGACGGGATGTTAAAATAAAAAAAAAAAAAAATAATAATAATAAAAAAAACAACCCCCACTCCCCCCAAATATCATCATATCATGAAGGCACACACACACCACGAGGTCATTTTCATTCAAATGAGTCATCCTCTAATCTAGAACAAAATCTCAGTGCTGTTAAATTAACTGTAATTATAGCACATGTTACCATGTTATAATTAGTTAATATAAAAATATATATTTAAAAACGCTACATTGACTAATTTAACATCACCTGACTCTCAAATGAAGAAAAAGATCTCTGTATGTTGGGATAAGATCAGACCGTTTGCTTATGGAAACAAAAACTGCATTTCTAATTAAAGATAAGAGCGGCACGTACAAACTCCATTGCGCTGTTGTTGACAAAGAAGTCTTGGACCTTAACACTCCAGTCTGCCCTGAGTTTGAGGTTTCCTTCACACTGTGATGGCTTGCATATGTAGCAGCTCCACGGATCGACATCTTTCAGCTTATCAAAGGTTTCTGGGCCCACCAGGATGTTCAGACAGTCCTTACAGTAACATCTGGGAGACAAAAATAAGAACATCAATCTCAGAAAGTTGATTCTGGTTATTTGGATTTAGCGTTTTCAGTGTGAGAAACTTTTTGCCACTCATCCAAGTGATGAAGACAGAAGAGAGACTGAAGACTTTTTTAGAGGCTGACGAATCATAAAATGAAACTCAGGGGTTTGTGAACTGATACAAAGACCTTAAGAGAGGTGAGGGGGTAGGACATGAGATAAAGGGAGAGGTTAGTGAATGACACTTTGACATACATCTTCTCTCAAGAACATTATAT